AGGATGTTTCCTGTGACCTTGTGCGCTTTTTCTTAATTGTGTTAGTGAATCTCCATTCTCTGCTCTTTATATTCACCAAATAGGCAAAAAATTAAAATAGAATGTTTTTTTTCTAAGCAAGGTTACTAATTTATTAGCTCTGTGCTATGAACAGAAAGGTTACAGTGCCAGCAATAATGTAGTTAAAATGACAAGAGCTGCACTAATTTGGCAACTTGCCTCTCTGACAGAATGTACATGTCTCATGTGGTCTCTCATTAAAATGGCTAATTAGACCACAGTGAATTTCTCATGCACTACTCTTCCTTCACAAACCGGCAAAATAGTGAACTCCACAGCCCTTAGTCTACACTTGCCTAAAGAATAGATCTGTTTGACCCAAAAATATATATTTATGTGGTTTTAAATGTGATTATTATCTAAAGGTATCTCTGAACAATCTTCATATGGATTACAGTCTAAAGTAAATATTTTGGGGGGAAATACCCACTTATATTCTAGATTTTTTTTAAAAGGGAAAAACATAATGTGAAGAGGTTCTGACGAATTTGCTCTGCCAAGTTTTCTTTTTGCCATTATGTACTGTTTTACAAGCTTAATTGCTCTCAATCCTTTGTGCTGATCATGTAGGGCAGGGTTCTCCAAATCTGGGTGCTCCAGATGTTGCTGAAATACAACTCCCATGATTCTTTGAATTAAATCGATAGCCAGAGAATCATGGGAGTTGTAGTTCAGCAACATCTGGTAGGCCAGAGTTTTTCGAGAACCTTGATATAGGGAGATTTAGATAGTTTAGCTGATAAATACATCTGCGCTCGTACCCAATGAACCTGAAAATTGCATGGTTTATTCCCCAGCAGGGTAAACTTAGCATTAATCCTTATGAGTGTGCTAAAATGTGTGATTTTGACTAGGGTACTAATCACATTTGTTCCACAGGACATACTTGGATACGGCTGAATATGTATCATTCCTTTTAAAATACTTTGATATTATAAATATATCCAGCATGTGTTTTAATAACAGTTTAATAAAATATTTCTTGCATGAATAGGCTTGCTGCAGGGATACTGCATGCTCAGCATCTTTGTGAACTTCAAAGACACTTCCCACTTCTTTGCAAAGCAGAAGCTGGGAGCTACTGATGCCATCACAAATTAGGATTGGCTTCTGACACAAGAGGCCCTGGGCAGTCTTTTTTAACAGTAATTAATAATGATTGTTTGAAATGTATGATGAAATTTCAAGATGGCCACCTCCACAGTGAAACATTGCAGAGCTAGTTTAGCATACCATGCAATGTATTGGTTATGATGCAAGATTTCCCTGGTGTATATTTTCACTGATATTGCTATTGCTAAAGTGAAAATTCATGCATTCTTCGGCATCAGCATATCAATTCCTTCCAGCCTTGGAAAATATGTATGTCACCTGAAGCTCTAATCCAATGAATTAAGTACTATATGGACAAAATATATATCTTTAGCTATATCTGTTCAAAGAGGCTGGAATGTATGTGCATCAATCTCAAACTGTTACCAAACTGTAAGACTCCTGACACCATACCTAGTACAGCCTAATGTAGTTCTTATTGTGTTTAAAGTATCACTTTACCCTTTAAATGTAGATATGGCTTATTTTGTAACATAAAGAGCCTATTCACGTATGACAATTTGATTCACATTGTATTTGACATTGATCTGATACTTAAAGGGACACTATAGTAGCCAAAACAACTTTAGCTTACTTAAGCAGTGTATGGGCATAAATCATCTCTCTGAAGCCTCACTGCTCAATTATCTGCTATTTAGCTAAGTTTACTTTAGTTTAGTTAAAAACTTTTTCTTTTTTTTTTTTTATGCAGCCCTAGCCACACCTCCTCTGGCTTTGACTCACATAGACTGTAATAAAATGGGGACCAGACAGAAAATAAATGGGTGCTAAATAATAATGGGGGGGTGGGGGGATGGACCTATCGTCCAGCCAGCTCCCACCAATTGGCGGTGGTAGGGGACCTAAATAATAAAGTGGTGGGTGGACCTATTGCCCCCCGTTTGTTGATGGGTGAGGGCCCTAAACGACAAAGTGTACCCATCCGGCGGCAGTGGGGAAGCTAAATAATAAAGTGAGGGGGCCCTATATATATATATATATATTGATATCAAAATACACTTAGAATAAAATGATATATATATCAAAATACATAAATAATTATGTATATATCACTATATATAAATAAAAATAACTTTAAAAAAATATAATATATATATATATATACACACACACACACACATATATATTTTTTTATTTTATTTTAATTCTACGTATGAATTCATGTAATATTTTTACATAGTTAAGTCATTTTAATAATTACAATTTGCTAGCACTATATTTAACCCTGTAACTTTCCAAGACACCATAAAACCTGTACATGTGGGATACTGTTTAACTTGGGAGACTTCGCTGAACACAAATATTAGTGTTTCAAACAGTCAACTGTATTACAACGATGATTTCATCAGTGAAAGTGACGTTTTTTGCATTTTTCACACACAAACAGCACTTACACTGATGATATCATTTTTGTGATACGTTTTACGGTTTTGAAACACTAATATTTGTATTCAGAGAAGTTTCCTGAATATAACAGTACCCATCATGTACAGGTTTTATGGTGTTTTCAAAAGTTACAGAGTCAAATATAAGGCTTGTGTTTCAGTTTTTTCACATTGAAACTTGCCAGATTGGTTACATTGCCTTTGAGACCGTATGGTAGCCCAGGAATGAGAATTACCCCCATAATGGCATACCATTTGCAAACTTAGACAAGGTATTGCAAATGGGGTATGTCCAGTCTTTTGTAGTAGCCACTTAGTCACAAACACTGGGCAAAATTTGCGGTCAAATTAGTGTTTTGCATTTTTCACACACAAACAAATATTAAGGCTAACTTTGGTCAGTGTTTGTGACTAAGTGGCTTCTAAAACATACTGGACATACCCCATTTGCAATACCTTGGGTTGTCTACTATTGCAAATGGTATGCCATCATGGGGGTAATTTTCATTCCTGGGCTACCATACGGTCTCAAAGGCAGCATAACCAATCTGGCGAATTTCAATGTGAAAAAACTGAAAAATGTTACATGTTATATTTGACCCTGTAACTTCCCAAAACACCATAAAACCTATACATAGGGGGCACTGTTTTACCCTTGAGACATCGCTGAATACAAATATGTATATTTTATTGCAGTAAAAGCAAACAGTATTATGACATTCACAGTTAAAATGTCATGCAGAACTAAAAAATAAAATTTCTTAATGTCTCACATTATTTTATATTTAATTCATATTAAATTTTGTTTCATAGCTAAATATTTGATGGTAAATGAAAGCCCTATTTCTCCTGAATAAAATGATATATAATAAGTATGGGTGCACTTAATATGAAAGAGGTGAATTACGGTTGAACAGACATATAGTCAAATTCCAGGTTTTGTTTACTATTTATTTTGATCAAAACGTGTACATTTGGCTCAGTCCTTAAGGGGTTAATGTCTGCTCTTTGCAGAGCACCATTTCAATCCCAGTCTCTAATATCTCCAGCCAGGAGTAAATGACTTTCTGGCTGCAGCTTGCTGGGAGAATAATTGAATAAATGTCATATCAATCAATTTCAGCGATTTAGGCGGCTATCAACCTTAAATCACTTGCCCATGAATGATGAGAACTGTCACTATCATTAAGGAGCCCCACCATATGTAAAGGACCCCTACATTGACATTTAGAGAAATTAGACAATAGTTGAAGGATTTAGGTGCCCAAACCCATGTGAAATTACAAGAGTACTTGTGATGAGAACTGATTTACATTTTGCCTGTGAAATACTTTCCATTCTTAGCGATTTAAAGGGGGTTACTTGTTTTGGATTTTTTTTTTTCAGTGCCTCAGGTTCGAATAAATGAAAATAAATAAGGTAATAGATGAACATTGACTCATCTGTCCATTCATCCATCTGTCTTGTTTTCTTCCATAATCTAAAATGTAAACCTCTGTATAGAGAGAGAAAGGAATGGGATTTTCTCTTAGCAATCTCATACGCATAGGGATAATTTATTTTGTGAATGTATTGTACTAGCATTGTTTTGATGCTGAAATAAATATCGTGAGTCATAGTGAGTAATTGTAAAATTGCAGCATTTTGTAGCAAAGGTTTTTCAGCTTTTTTAATTTACAAATCAATTGCTCCCATTTTTCTCAATGTGCTTGAAAGTTAAGCATTGACGTGGTTGATGTTGATGGATAGAACATTTGTTAGCATTATGGGTAAAGTCAGTGTGCTGCACGCTTATTGGTATTGGTATATTGGTCTCCAGCAGCGACAGTGTAAATAGTGTTAATCAAACACCAAGGTGTTGTATAATGCTAGAGCATCTAAGTAATCTGAGCAGAAGGGTATCACCGGATGAGAAGCTAATTAATTTAGCCTTTATATTTTTCCTGATTCAAATACTTACTGGTGATTGTCAAGACCGGATTAACATAGGGGATGATGGAGCTGCAGCTCCAGGCCCATGCCCATGGAATAGGCTCATTGATTTAAAAAAAATATATATTTTTGTTTTTGTTTTTTACTTCGGTATTTATTTGAGGCTGCCTGGCCGGTGCCGATATTGCAGTAATACCGGCAATAAAATGCCGGTATTTTTCTCAGTTTAAACAGATTACTCTGTATTACCAGCACCGGCCAGTAGGGGTCGCTGTGTGTGTGGAGAGAGGCAGGGATAGGAAGAGGCAGGGAGACATGGGGACACTGAGATACTAGGGAACTCTGTAAGACATAGGGACACAGGGAAACCTTTGGGGACACTTGGAGACACTGGGACGCAGACACACATGGGGGCACTGAGACTTGGGGACTCTTAGACATGGGGACACTGAGACACTAAGGGGCGCTGGAAGACATGGGGACACAGACACTTGGGAGCACAGAGACACTAGGGGACACTGAGACACTAGGGGATGCTGGGAGACATGGGGACACAGACACACATGGGGACACAGACACACATGGGGACACTGGGATACATGGGGACACAGACACTAGGGACACAGCCAGTGTCCCTGGTGTCTGTGTCCCCATGTCTCTCAGTATTCCCATGCCTCTCAGTGTTCCCATGTCTCCCAGTATCCTTAGTGTCTGTGTCCCCATGTCTCCCAGTGTCCCCGTGTCTCCCTGTGTCGACATGTCTCCCAGTGTCTGTATCCACATGTCTTCCAGTGTCCCCAACTGTTTCAGTGTCCCCTTGTCTCTGTGTCCCCTAGTGACATGGGCACACTGGGAGACATGAGGCACTGAGACACTGTGATACATAGTGATACTGTGATGCATAGTCTGTGTCCCCAAGTGTCTCAGTGTCCCCCTAGACACTAGGGGACACTGGGAGACATGGGGAGACAGGGAAACATTGGGAGCGATCCATCTTTACAGCAGAATCAAACTGTAAGTAGTTTTTTGATGATTTTACAGAATTTTCTCTTGTGTCACTCCTTGTGATTTACATCATGTGATGTCACGCATACGTAATTAGTTATGCAAATTAGCAAGGCCTGTATTTTTTTCCAAGAAACGTAGCAACCCTAACTACTCTTCACATATTTTTGCTTAAGTATGGAAAAGTAAGAGGGATATATGGAAACAAAATTTGTGTGGACTAGCTGAAATGAAATTAGTTAAGGTAATGCTGACTTTCTGTCTCTCTGTGGCTTTGGTTTCTCTGTGACTGTGGCATATCCTTTTTCTTCTACACTCGCTACATCCACCTTTTCTCTGTCTCAGACTGTATACCATGAGCTTCTGTCTGCTAGTAAGAAGGTAAGGAGACAAGTGGACAAGTCAGTGCTAGGGGGCAGTCTTTAGAAAGCATGGAGCAAGCGCATCATTAGATTCATTTATAACAAGCTCAGGATGCTGTTGGCCAGCATGCGTGATTGGCAGGCAGCCTGACATGCATTCATGCCAGGCTAGTCTTACAATTTTTTGGGGCAGACACGCCTCCTTTTTAGGCATTTTCGTCTCTTTCAGGAGTTCTGGTTACATGATCCGCGTCAGTGGCCCACCCTTTTATACCGCCCATTGACTTCCTACTTCAATGAACACTGCTGTTAGGGGGTATGGATTTACTTGAAAGATCAAAGCATGAATTAGAGAGAGATTAGCATATTTTAAGAGAATCTGAGTTTTCTTATAGCTGCATCCTATATGTTTCCCTCTGGCAACATTTCCACCAGATACATAACGCTTGAGAAGTATGACTATTTTAGTATTTTTGGTCAATAAGATTCTGTACTTAGGCCCCTCATAATTGTCAGCACCAGGCCCACTGGGCTCTTAATCTGGCCCTGGTGATTGTATGTTAACTAATGTTTGTGACGTAGTGACATTGTGTAAGTAGTAATAAGTAAATAAAACATTCTCTGCTAATCATGGATTTCCTACTGTATGTAATAGACTTGCAAGGAGAGAAAATTTATTTTGGTCTATTCATTTTTTCTGAAATTAAAAATTCATTTGGGACTGCCAAATTTCGGCCATATATTGGTTCAGCTCGGAAGAGTTTGGTAACAAAAAATGATTTGGAAAACTAACTAAAGACCAACCAAAAGGGCACAAAAATGGACCAAATATACATGTTTTGTTTGTAATTCGGCTCAGAGTTCAGGAATGCAAACAATCTTCCATTCAGCTCAAATTTGTGCAAATTGCAGTTGAGAACAAAACAAATCTCTAAGCCTAATATTTAATACAGTGTAATTCAGGAAATAGGATTGGTTTCCCAATACAGTATATGTAAATCTACAGCAACCAGACAGTTAACAGTCATAACATTTGTAGACTTCAAATACAGTTGTGTCAGATTAGTCCTAGAACACTTGCCAATGTATTTGGCAGTCCACATTGAGAAAGGATTGTGTCTGTAGGTGTCTGTTGGTATCTCACTGCCCACATTGCTAATTAACAGAGTTAACTATCATGGGCATAATTCTGTGATGCTTACAAGTTGCTTTAGCATTTAATAAGGATACTGGTATGTATATTCAGTGGTTTATAGGCAATCCAAGGTATCAGACAAATGACAGATGTAACAGCAGCACAAATTGACCTATTGTTTTCATCATTAAGAATGGGAATCATTCCAAACTGCAAACTATTGTGAGGTCTTGCTAAGATAGTTAAGCTCAGTTGATTATCCTCTGTAAATATTTCCAATTAATTCTACAGACCTCATACTTGGGAACTTAGATGTTCCTTAAAGCCTATTAAAACCTCTATCTGTCTATACATATAAGATAATAATTTTTTTGATAGAACTACATTCTTTCTTAAGATTTTTTAAAATTGTATTAGACTAGTGTGCAAAGAGAAAATTTAGCTTGGCCAAACCATTTTTCCAAAAAATAGAAAACTTTTGGGTTGTTTAATTTCAGCCATATGTTGGTTCAGCTCATCAATATTTTGTTACCAAAAAAATTGATTCAGGAACCAAATTAGGTGAACCAAAAGGGCATGACAATTGGCTAATCAGTGTACTTCAAAATATATACATATGATACTATTATGTATATATTTTACAGTATACAAAAAGGAGCATATTCCCATGATTTGTCTCACATTTCCAGTGAGAAAAAGTAATAACAGAGGGGAATAGAGGAGGAGCAGTAAAAATAAACAAAAAAACTATATTTTCTTTTATATGTTATATATTTAATCTTATATATTTTAGCAGTAAATATTACTGCTGCTCCTGTTTTCTCACTTGATCTGTAAACCAAAAGATGGAAGAGTGCTCCTATCAGTGTACTGAAAATATATGCTTAAAGGGACACTATAGTCACCAGAACAACTACAGCTTATTGAATTTGTTCTGGTGAGTAGAATCATTACCTTCAGGCTTTTTGCTGTAAACACTGTCTTTTCTGAGAAAATGCAGTGTTTACATTACAGCCTAGTGATAACTTCACTGGCCACTCCTCAGATAGCTGTTAGAAATCCTTCCTGGGTCATGGCTGCCTAAAATACATCCAAACATTCAGTGTCTCTATGAGGAGATGCTGATTGGCCAGGGCTGTGTTTGAATCATGCTGGCTCTGGCCCTGATCTGCCTCTTTGTCAGTCTCAGCCAATCCTATGGGGAAGCATTGTGATTGGATTAGGCTACCACTTCTGATGACGTCAGCAGGCAGTGGGCAGGTCAAAAGCAAACATTGACAAAGCAAGCAGCTCCAGACTTGAATACTAGTAAGATTTTACTATATTTAGGGAGGCCGAGGGGACCATGGAGGCTAGTTGGTGGTTTGTGTTCCTGACCATATAGTGCTCCTTTAAATATATGTATATATATATATATATTAAAAAAAAATAATGTATATTTTACTACTTTTTTCTAATACTTTTCAGTAAATATCTGTAAATAAAATAAACATTCAGTGATTGTACCCTTGCCATCAATCATCTTTTTATCCCATCATTTATCTCTTTTTTTGCACCATGGTCAAAATCCAGAATCACAAATCAAAGCAAGCATGCTCTGATGATTTAGTTTGGTTCGTGACTTGGGTACATTTTGGCTCTGAGTTTGGGAATTTGACCCATAGTAAAGCATTGGAATGGCTGAGATTGTCAAGGAGGTGGGCAGGGGCGGAGCCCTGGCTAATCACCATTTCCTCATAGAGATGCATCAAATCAATGCATCTCTATGAGGAATATTTAGTGTCTACATGCAGAACATGGAGGGGCTGAATGTCAGTGCTTCATGCTGTGCAGCACTGCCTCAAGAAGAACCTCTGGTGGCCATACCTTTTCTCTAAAAAGGCAGTGTTTACAACAACAGACCCTGTGTGTGTGTGCTTGTGAATTCTCATTTATTTTAGCAAATTTAAAAAACATTTATTTCTGTCATATGTTTGTTTTTTTTCCGCTTTTCTTTAGTTTGTGGTTAAAGTCCTACAGATGCTTGTGATATAACTATCCCTGATTACATGCCCCTTCTTCATTTCCATAACCAATATTCCATCCAACACCTCATTCCATGTACAGTATATCGTTCAAACTATCTCCTGTACCTAATCCACTGGTGCTCCCCTCCGAATCTGCTGTCATCCTTAAATGTATCAATCCCAGAAAGTGCCCTCAACCACCAACAATATCTCTCTAAGCCAGGGGATTCCCTCACATCCCAACCATATGGTACCCTCAGCCCCTAGTCATTTCAATTCCAGCCTGATTCTTTTCTCCCTATAGCTGGTGGTATAGGTACAACTGCACTGGCTGTATGATCCCTCATTAGGTCCATACTCACACACAGCACTGGTAAGGACCAGCTCTGTCTGCTCCCTCTTGTTAAATCTTAAGGAGAGAGGACGGTCTGCTGATGCATATGCATTAGTATTACTTAACAGGCAAAGCCACGCGTGAGCAAGATTGTACAAGGTCATCCATACATCCAGGGGCTGGCAACCTTCGGCACTCCAGATGTTGTGGACTACATACCCATAATTCTCTTACATCCATAATGCTGGCAAAGCATCATGGGAGGTGTAGTACAAAACATCTGGAGTGTCGAAGGTTGTCTACGCCTGGCCTAAGGCAACCCCTGTTTGATGGTGTTACATGATGTGTATTGATGTGAAGCAATAAAGTAAATACTTAGGTCAGCAACTTTCAAATTCAGTAAATTTAATATTTATTGCCCTCGGTTGACAGTTCCATAGCAGTAAAACCAGGTATGTTGGTATATCATTCCCTTTGAAAATGTAGTAACGAGGGGGTGTGGCTAGCTGGGAAGCCTGATGGACGTCTGCTGATTCAGCTCCTCCGGACCCGGGCACGATCCGCCGCCATCGGAGAAACTCAAACGCGATGGGCAATCCCAAGAGGCAAACACAGGTACAGGGGCAACAGGGGAGAACCCCCATACCTAAATCGGGCTCCCTCACCCGTTATTTTAAAGATAACATCGATAGGGATTTGGAGGCCGCGGCCGCGACCTCCAAGATGGCGGATGCCGATCCCACAGAGGAAATGCAGCCACAAAGCCCCCACATGTCAGATTACTCACTAAAATCATTAGAAAACAGTGGGGATTTAGACATAAAAGAAATGTTGAGGAATCTCCCA